AACGACCTATTGTGCCAGTTGTGCACTAGATGGCGCTCCCGTTGCCCTTTGTGTTTGTGTGTGCGCCTTCGTGTTCTGTACAGGTGTCTGTGCGGGAGATCTATTGGAGGGACTTGAAGTGTGGGCGTGGCCGGTCTGACACCTGAGTGGCTGTAGTGGGACAAGAGCGTGGACGTCTTCCAACCCCGGGGATCCATCACTGAGGGCGTCCCCATAAAACCTCCCACTTGCCGTCAGCTCGGGGCAGCTGGACTTGTCCGTGCCAGTCTGCCGTCACTGCTCCTCCTGTATTGTTCTGTTCCCTTACGTTGTCACTTTGTAATTTTGAGCTCTAGTTTTGTATAGTGACTTTCGTTTTGTATTATCAATATTATTATTATTTCTGTATTCCTCCTTTGTTTCCCAATTCATTTTATTTTCTGTCATCATTAAAAACTTACTTTAAAATGGACAAATGCCAATTCCATCTGGTTTTTTGCTACGTTCTTACTCCCTAGCTGAGCTGGACGTAACAAAATTGGGGGCTCGTCCGGGATCGGAAAATCCTTTTCCCATGTTCATTTAAAAGAAGTAGGTACCAAATTTTGGTAGATTTAATAAGTGAATTGTCGTGCGCAATATTCTCAGGTGTTCCCGTGCAAACTTTTAATATGGCTGACTTTGACAGATTTTTATCACATCCTACAGAGGAGGAGTTGAATAAATTTAAGAAAACTGAGTTAGTTGATATTGCAGACCTGTGCCAAATTGAAGTGGACAAAAACTTAAAGAAAGCAGAGTTGAAACATATTGTTGCATCCTGGCTGGTGGAGCATGGCGGCATGCACGTTCCTAGGCTTGAGGTGGAGGTCGTTGCTGGTCATTCGGAGCGTCCCGAGGCAACCTCTCTGGTATTGGGCCCGGAAGTTTGTCCATCCACAGCACGCGTCCCTCCCAAAGCAGAGGAGAGGCTGACAACGTCATCTTCTCCACCCGGTGTGTCTGAGAGTAGAGGCCGGCCTGATCACCCGACCCGCTTCTCTTGGGACCACTCGCTGGGTAGCCCGTCCCGTTTCCCCCAGGTTCCTACGCGGCACAGAGTACCTGTGGAGCGCCTGGACGAGGAAGCGGAAGAAAGGGAGAGGGAGCGGCAATCGACTATGGAACTTCAATACCCGACCCAAAAAACACCTGAGATCGAGAGCCGAGACTGGATAGCGCTGAAAATGCTTCGGCTCGAGCTGGAGGCAGAAGGCCGTCTTCCTCTTAACCCTAGCCGTGGTCGTTGCTGCTGTTGATCCAGCCCACAGTCCGGTCCAACCTGTTGATGTGAGTAAAATATGTTTTCGCTTTTTTCAAAATTACGTGAGTCTGAAATTGACATTTATTTTCTGTGCTTTGAACGCATAAGCCCAGGCTATAAATTGTCCTCCTGAGCTTTGGTCCACATTGCTCCAGTGTAAGTTAACTGGGAAAGCACAGGAAGTTTCTGCTGCTCTGTCTTTGGAGGAAAGCATGAGATATGAGTCTGTTAAAGCTGCTATTTTACGTTCGTATCAGCTGGTCCCTGAGGCCTACCGGCAGCGCTTCAGAGGCCTCAAGAAGGCCCCAAACCAGACCTATGTATTTGAGTGAACAGAAAGTTACCACGTTACAAGAGGCCGCGGTGTTGGCTGATGAATTCGCCCGGTGTTGGCTGATGAATTCGCCCTGACTCATAGGACCACATTTGGTACGGAGAAAAACCGGTCCTTTGTCTCAGAGCCAATTCGTAGGCCTGCCAACACGCCACCCGTTCACAAGGAGCAACGAGAGTGTTTTTACTGTCACAAACCTGGACATGTCATCTCTAACTGTTTGGCTCTTAAGCGTAAATCCAATTACTCTGCCACTAAAGCTAATGGTGTCGGAGTAATTAACATGGAGAGTACACCTGTTGTAAGCGACAGTGCAGATCCGTGTTTCAAGCCGTTTATACTTGAGGGCCTTGTGTCTGTAAAGGGAGCCCTGCATGATCAGAAGTCCATCCGCATTTTACGTGACACTGGGGGGAGCTCAGTCTGTAATATTAGCCAGTGCGCTTCCATTTTCATCAGAGTCTTTCTGTGGGTATAATGCGGTATTAAGAGGGATTGAGATGGGCTACTGCCCGCACCCCGTACATTATGTGCACGTGAAATCCAAACTTGTTACCGGTGTTTTCCCTATTGCGGTGTGCCAGGAGTTGCCCATTCCAGGTGTGCATATGCTGATGGGAAATGATTTAGCAGGGGGAACGGTATTTCCTCCCCTGCAAATTGTTGATTCCCCATGTTGCAGTTCCACGGAGATGGGTTCCCCTGAGCTGCCCCGTGTGCGTCATGACGCGCGCCAGGGCCTGTTCACCGGACGTTGACTTGTCTGATACCTTTTTATGTAATGTTACAGATTTGAGTGGGTCCAAACAGAACCTACAGGCTGTCTCAAAAACGCCTGCGGAACCTGTCATGTCGGAGAAACTCGCTGGGCTGAGGTTGCCTTGTTCTCGCGAACGACTGCTTATGGAGCAAAAGTCCGATCCAACCTTACGCGTATTATTCTCCGGAGTGGTGAGTAGTGAACAACCCAAGGACGATGTACAACATTACTATTTCCTTGACAATGGTCTGCTTATGCGCAAATGGTCCCCGCTTGCTTCAATTGGGTGTGATTTAAGTGCAGTGTTTCAAATCGTGGTGCCTCACTCTTACCGGAGGTCCATTTTGGCGGTGGCACATGAGAGCCAATGGGCTGGCCATTTAGGAGTCACTAAGACTTATACACATATTTTAAAACAATTCTTCTGGCCTGGATTGAAACGTGATGTGGCTGAGTTTTGTCGCACCTGCCACGTATGCCAGATAGCAGGAAAGCCAAACCAGCCCATTCCTTCCGCGCCTTTGCAACCTATCCCTGCCATAGACCAACCATTTGATCGTGTAATAATAGATTGTGTGGGCCCTCTGCCCCGAACAAAGAGTGGATATGAGTTTTTGCTCACCATTATGTGTGCTGCGACGCGCTTTCCTGAAGCCATTCCGCTACGTAAATGCACGTCCCGCTCCATAGTAAAGGCGTTAACAAACTTCTTCTCTTTGTTTGGTCTTCCCCGGGTCGTTCAGTCAGATCAAGGGGCAAATTTTCAATCAAAGCTATTCAATGAATTAGTCCGAAGTCTGGATGTAAAGCATGTAGTTTCCAGCGCGTATCATCCAGAGTCCCAGGGTGCGCTCGAGCGGTGGCATCAGACGTTAAAATCAATGTTGAGGAAATACTGTTTGGAAACGGGAAATACTTGGGATGAGGGGATTCCCTTTGTATTATTTGCGGCACGTGATGCGGTACAGGAGTCTCTTGGCTTCAGTCCGGCGGACTTAGTGTTTGGTCATAGTCCCCGCGGTCCTTTGAAAGCTTTAAAGGAGAAGTTCCTGGCTCCTTCGTCTGCGCCCCATAATGTGCTCGAGTTTGTAAGTCATTTTCATGAGCGGTTGGTGACTGCGAATAAACTGGCGAAGTCTACGCTTGCTGGAGTCCAGAAACGTATGAAGGTCCATTTTGATAAAAAGGCTGTTAAACGTGATTTTTCGGTGGGAGAGAAGGTGCTTGTCGTGCTCCCTCTCAGGGGAAATGCGTTGTCTGCAAAGTTTGTTGGACCGTATGAGGTAAAAGAGAAAATAAATGACACAAATTTTGTCATCCGTACTCCTGATCGCCGTCGTAAGTCCCGGGTGTGTCACGTTAACATGCTAAAGAAATATTATGAACGCAGTGTTGACCCACCGGTGGCGTCCCCGTCCACTTGTGCCGCAGCGCTGGTGATAGTAGAGACTGACCGGGCTGTCCCAGATGCAGTTTTTCCTCGGCAGGCTAAAGTTGCGCGACTCTCGAATTCTCAAATGGTTAACGAGCTGCCCGAGAAATTGGGTCATTTGAGCAATACTCAGAGAGAGGACATACTGTCTATTGTTCATGATTTTTCCTGTTTATTTAGTGATGTACCATCTCGAACTACCGCGTTAACACATGACATTGATGTGAAAGGAGCAAAACCCATCCGGCAACATCACTATAGGGTGAATCCCCGCTAAGCGTGCGCTTATGAAGCAGGAGGCAGAATACCTGCTAGAGCACGGCCTTGCCATTCATAGCTCCAGTGCATGGAGTTCGCCATGCTTAGTGGAGGAGAAACCCGATGGGACTCCCAGATTTATTACCGATTTTAGAAAGGTGAACGCTGTCACAGAACCAGATTCCTACCCAATGCCTCGCATGGAGGATTGTGTAGACAATCTAGGAACTGCAAAATTTGTAACCAAACTGGATTTGCTAAAAGGATATTGGCAAGTGCCGCTCACGAAGCGTGCCTCGGAGATCTCTGCTTTTGTAACACCGGATTATTTTCTGCAGTATACAGTCATGGCGTTTGGGATGCGCAACGCCCCAGCTCGTTTCAAAGGCTTGTTAATACGGTGTTGAGTGGCTTGTCTAACTGCAATGCTTATCTAGATGATTTAATTCTGCATTCAGCTACTTGGGAGGAGCATACGTCTATTTTGACTAACGTGTTTTTCACGCCTTGCACAGGCCTCTCTCACGGTGAATTTGGCCAAATGTGAGTTCGGGAGGGCCACCGTTACCTACCTGGGCCGAGAAGTGGGCGAGGGTCAAGTAAGGCCTGTTGAAGCGAAAGTCGCTGCCATCCTTGCTTGTCCGTCCCCCACTACGCGTCGCGCTCTCCGCCGGTTCTTGGGTATGGCCGGTTTTATCGGAGTTTTTGCCCGAACTTTTCTACCGTTGCGTTGCCACTGACTCGTTTGCTCAGCCCCAAGGTTGATTTTGTTTGGTCGCAGGAGTGTGACCATGCGTTCTCCAGTCTAAAGGCTTTGTTGAGCCATGCGCCTGTCCTCGCAGCGCCTGATTGTTCCCGTCCATTCAAGTTGGAGGTAGACGCCAGTGCTGAAGGGGCCGGGGCTGTTCTTCTTCAAGAAGATGCCGCTGGAGTTGACCACCCAGTTGGCTATTATTCAAAGAAATTTAATAAGCACCAATTGTCATATTCGACCATTGAAAAGGAAACGTTGTCTTTGTTGTTCGCTCTTCAGCATTTTGAGGTATATGTTGGGTCGAGTTCTTTGCCTGTGTTGGTTTTTACAGACCATAACCCTCTTGTCTTTTTGTCCCGCATGTTTAACCATAATCAGCGGTTGATGAGGTGGGCTCTGATGGTGCAGGACTTTCATCTCGAAATCCGTCACAAGAAAGGAGTGGAAAATGTGTTGGCCGATGCCCTGTCCAGATTTTGACAGTCCATCGCTATAGTACCCCCTGGTTATTACCGTAGTTCCAATTGGCTACTTGACCGTGTTTATTGAAAATGAGTAGTTTCGCTCTTAAGGGGGGGAGTGTTACGGGCAACGACCTATTGTGCCAGTTGTGCACTAGATGGCGCTCCCGTTGCCCTTTGTGTTTGTGTGTGCGCCTTCGTGTTCTGTACAGGTGTCTGTGCGGGAGATCTATTGGAGGGACTTGAAGTGTGGGCGTGGCCGGTCTGACACCTGAGTGGCTGTAGTGGGACAAGAGCGTGGACGTCTTCCAACCCCGGGGATCCATCACTGAGGGCGTCCCCATAAAACCTCCCACTTGCCGTCAGCTCGGGGCAGCTGGACTTGTCCGTGCCAGTCTGCCGTCACTGCTCCTCCTGTATTGTTCTGTTCCCTTACGTTGTCACTTTGTAATTTTGAGCTCTAGTTTTGTATAGTGACTTTCGTTTTGTATTATCAATATTATTATTATTTCTGTATTCCTCCTTTGTTTCCCAATTCATTTTATTTTCTGTCATCATTAAAAACTTACTTTAAAATGGACAAATGCCAATTCCATCTGGTTTTTTGCTACGTTCTTACTCCCTAGCTGAGCTGGACGTAACACACGTTATCAGTTGGGAGTTATTCCCTGGTGCCCCTAAATAAAGCTATTATCAATTATAGTATTTATTACATGGTTGTTTTTGATCCAATTCTCCGATATCAGGTACATAACTTAAGTTATGTGTGATATCGACATTTTCTCACCCTACATATAAATACAATAGTTTATTTCTTTAGTCCTTTTTTCCACCCCCTATATTTTATTAATCATGTATTTATACATATCTTAATTAATCCATGTAATTTTCCTTCATGAACTTGAGCTCAGTTTAACTCTATCTAGACCAGGGGTCTCAGACACGCGGCCCGCGGGTCAATAGTTTGTTGCCCTCTGCTTCTAATCAAAGCTTTGT